AATTTTTGAGCGCTTTGTGTGTCGAATGTTGCTGTCAAGTATTCTCTGTTGGCAACGTATGGTTTAGTTCTTTGTAATCGCGTTACTTACCCCCTCCAATTTTCAATATTCGTTTTCACCGCTTAATTGGAATTTAGTGTATTGCGGCAGGCCATTGACTTTAAGGAAATCTGCAAAAAGCCGCAGGAGGATACCGTTCGGTATCGAAATTTTTTGAAATTGTTGCAATTCCTTGAGTTGTTGGATTTCTTGAATTGTTGGAAATTCATTCAGGCAATAAATCAATTGTGTTGTCTGTGAGGTTGGGGTACGTGTTATAGCCAAATACTGTGTTCGCTGTCAACGGCAACCGAATCTCCGTTCACACTTTCAAGCAAAAGTCGTCAGAACCCACATCCGTAGCAATATCTCCTGAACAATTTGTGGATTGGCTTTACATTCGAAATCCCAAACCGCACTTTCTTACAAAAATTATCATCGTTTCCAAGTTAGCGATGATACGACGTTTTTTAATTTTTGAGCGAGAACAATTTTATAACGATGTAGATCCATATTGCTCCACGAACTTCACTAATAGCCTTTGTTAAGAATATTTCCCAGCAACATTTTCGTCACTCCAAACAATTCTTTGCCTTATAAGTAGGCAATCACAGCGAAAAGAACCGTAACCTTCTAAACTATCCACAATACAACGAATAGAGAAACGAGAAAAAGAAAAGCTTTTCATGATTATTGACATTTCCTACCTATAACACGGAAGACTTCAGACTTTTCATATAAAAGTAGGCTCCTGCTGTCGCGATATCAAAGACTTATTCGTGTGCACAACACTACAGAATAATTAATTCTTTGGAAAGGAAAGCGATCTATCTAAAAGAAATAAACATTAAATAGGTAAAGGCTTTCGTAAGAATCCGTATTAACCTCACCCAGAACGTAAGAGCAGCGAACAACAATTTAAACTTAATTACAAGCCCCCTACCAGATGATTGTGGTGCATTGTTCTCAAAACCTCTTAACCTCAAAACCGGTTACACCTCTTCGTAAATCCTTAATATACCTAATTTATATATATTTGACGCACTACACCGCTCGTAGTAGGGCATACCAAGTTTGCGCAGATGTACGCAACATCCAGAGAAACTTGCTGTATATCCGCCTTTTGTCATTTTCGGAATCGATCTAAGGTTGTCCGTCCATTCGTCTTGTGTTCTTTGTTCAACTTAGAGGCCGAAATTTTTGTGATATTTTGGTGCTGATCACTTGGTACACTGATGTGTTTTGACCCAAGGATGAACGCTACTGAAAACGTTTCGGGTAAGGCCACTTTTTCGTGCACTTCTCGTGTAAACCCTTACATTGAAAAGTGATTATATGAATAACTGTAGGGCGAAGTCAAGTATTTTATTATGAGCTGTAGGCCATTTTTTTTTTTTTTTACTATTTATTTTACATTTATTCTTTTATTTATTTATTTATTTATTTACATGAAATTTTGCTGATATAAATAACAATCGAATTCAATTGACTCCTAGAAATAAATGTCATGTTAAATATTATTAAGAACTACTGCAAAATGTATAAAGAAAAATAAGGACAAAAAAAAAAAAACAATGAAGAAATAAAAAGAATAAAATTCATTCAGATATAAAACAATACAAAAAAAAGAAAAAGAAGAGAAAAACAAAAGCATTTAGACACTTAACACAAAGGCACACTCGCACCCGTTACCAAACCGAGTTGAGAGTGAACCCTAAAGCCGTGTCGAAGCTTGGTCACGTATACTAGTCAACAACTTCAGTTCACTTTTCGAATTATACGATGGTATTAGGATTAGAAGTTAATTTAGATATGACGTAGGGAAAGAGATTTGACTGCAGTATCCTAAACTTAATATAATTCTGATACCTATGCACACATATAAGACATATTGCGTTCATAACACTGTCCTTTCTCTGTCTTTATCGTAAAATGCCAGACTTACTTTCACTGAGATCGCTTATTTGAAAGACTATACGAAAAACAAATCAAAATGCAGTTCAGACGTGCCATAGAAAATTCGTATATGAAGTCACATTTTTTGTATCAAACATTTATATAAACGTTTACATTAGACGGAGTTGAAAAACGATTCCCAGTTGATTCGACATCCGAGTGTATTACTTTTGCTCAATTTTTATCAAGATTTATCGTAAATTCGAATTTTCTAATTGTGTGTAGAAGAGTAGATAAACTGGTCGGGCTAAGTACATTTCAAACAGCATTCGCATAAATGGATTAAAATAAGAAAAGATGGATCTACCTGAAGAAGAAGCAAGGAACTCGTACTATATACCAAATGTGTATGAAGACCAACCACTTAGTCGACGTGGGCACGATGGCGCTCAGGAAGGACTTTCGGCACGAAAGAAATAAAAGTCAGGAGGTAGTATTCATGTACGGTCGACTTTAATGGTAAAAAGTTTGAAAGCACAGGAAAGACTACTGCTAGCAGGCTCTTTCAAGGGTGCGCTTTACAAATTTTTATTCGTCTGGCCAATCAGGTAATGCGTCCTATACATATGGGCTTGATGGATGTTACAATTTTATAACTTTCTTCGTTTAAACCGTACACTCTCGACATACGTTATACCTTTGAAGCGTTATCTTCTCTTAAAATACCCCAGAAGAGTCCATACTTCGTTCTGGAGTATTTTAAATCGTGGATTACTTTTTAAATCTTTACATTTTTTTTTTTTTTTTACATTTAGCCAGAGAAATGAATTCTTCGATTAAAGTTCTAGCATCAACGGCATATGCTTTATTTGATAACTCTACTATACTCTCGATTTAAGTTTTTGTATCGAAAGAAAATAAAAATGATAATTTTATACAAGCATATTAATCCCGTAAATAACTCGACTTGATTACACAAAACATTCGTGTTGCCATTGGGAACGATAGCTTAATAATTGGACACAGAACAAAAGATTTCATAGCCTTTCAAATATTGAATAGAAAAATACTTAATAACGATTTAAAAAGAAAGAGAAAAAGAGAAGAGCTGGAAAGACAGATTCCAAGAGTAGTCACAAACAAACAAATCTTCGCAGCTGAGACAAATTCATTAAGTACATTACAAGCACTTAATACAATTATTTTTACTTAATTATATGTTATAGTGATTTTCCTAGAAGAAGAGAAACACAAGAAAGAAAAATGACAGGAAGTAAACATCTATCCGTATAAGCAAAGCAAGCCCGGCATTCTAGTAGCACTATAAACCGTGTAAAGGAAAATCCTAAAGGAGGAATCGTTGTTGCTGCACTTTTGTTTGCGCTAATAAGCTCACTGTGAAACTGTTTAGTGAAAAGGAAGGGGAGTAGACGCGGAGAGAATTGTAAGTTATGTTAGTCGGATTCTCGTCTGGACTTTGCGGTGCTTTCGAGATTAGTTGGGACTAGATGCGGAGAGAATTGCAAGTTATGCTAGTCCGATTCTCTTCTGGACTTGACAGTATTTCTGATATTAGTTAAAAGTCTTAAGCGGTTTATCTGTGGAGTCGTTTGAGTGTTGAGAGTGTTGAGTTAACTTAAAACAGAAGGGAGGTAGACGCGGAGAGAGTGATAAGTTGTGCCTGTCCAAATCTCCTCTGGACATGCCGATATTTTTGACATTAGTTGGGAAGAAGTCTAAAAAGTCCCTCCTATGGAATCGTTTGAGTGTTGAGAATGGTGAGATAACTTAAGCCAGAAGGGAGGTAAACGCGGAGAGAATAATATGTTGTGCCAGTCTGGTTCTGCTCTGGACTTGTCGGTATTTCTGGGGAGAAGTCTAAAAAACAGGATGAACTTCAAATTAGCCGGCGTCATTCTCTTAACACAACTTCGATTACTGTATTGGGAAAGTCCTCCTCTGAAGCAAATATTCATCTACGGCGGAGTTGCACAGAAATAATCCGACTGCTACACACGAATCAAATTCGAAAATCGAAAAATAGCGCTCATCGAATTCTTCTCGTATTCTCTCTTTTCTATTGCTCGTTGGGCAAACATACAATTAACGCATCAGTTACTAATATATGTCGAGACAGATATATTAATGTCATCCTTGACAAAGCAATCCATACTATTTTTAAAAAGTGCTAGCTCGCAAACGACGTTTGTTGAAATTTCATAACATTCTAAATATTTGACTAAGAGTTTCAGTAAAGTCCATACTTTTTGTGTCATAAGAATTCCTCTCTGTCGAGAACAAAGAGTTATCGTTGAACGAGGTTCGGATATCGATGATCCTGAATGTAGTAAAAAAAAGTTCTGAGCGTTATTTTCCTTACTCGAGAACCGAAGATACAAGCAATTGGTGGCAAGATCGCATCAAGACATGAAAAGTCAATGAATTCATTATTAAGTGTGAAAAGTGGTCGGCGCAGAACACTTTATCACAAGTTGGTAGATACCGTGGTAAAGTTGCCTAACCGTAAAGTCCAATTTGCTGCCTCACTCAACGCTTCACAGCCCATTATCTGTTTTATAAATCGCAAAAAGATGCTTCAGAGTCTTCCGAACCTTTGAATCAAATCCTGTAGTAGTTGCGGGCATTGAAGCGTTCCATAGAATAGCATGGAAATGTCAGTCAATGATGCCCTGTGTTGCTTGATGAGTTATCCGAAGAAGATAGTAATAATAATGATAAATTCGAATTTTGCAAAAAAGAAGAAGAAGAAAATTTTATTCCTACTAATCCCCCAAATTATTGACTACTTGATGCTTACGCCAAATTTGTTTTAATCAAGCTTTCAAGTTTATCTCCTTTGTTTTAGCACAAGTCGGACGGATAAGTAAAATTAAATTCTTGCATCTTCCTACAACAACATTATAGCGGTTTCTTCGCAGTCTCCATAATATTTATAGAGATCGAAAGTATAGTGTAAGTATATGTGTGTGTATTTGTTTGTGTTTTTTTTTTGGGGGGGGGATAAAAATCAAGAAAGTGTTTATAGAAAATGAATTTGCGTTTACCTGGTTCTAAGGTTGTCGCCAATAGTATGGGCGGCAGGCAAAACAGAATGATACGTATTTCAAATAAATGCATTAATACCAGTCTGGACCGCATTTGTTTGTTGCGTAGTTTTTGATGATTATCAACGGGCGGGATGATAAAATGCGTTATTTTGCTCGCCTGGCATCCGTTTTACTGAGCTTTGCAAATGGCGGCGATTTAAAGTTAATTTATTTTTAAATGTGAAAAATGACAGCACAGTAAGAATATTTAACTGATGCTTCTTCTTCTGCTTTTTTTATTTTTTTATATATATATATTTTTTTTTTTCTTTTAGAGTTTAATCTTTTATTCGTTATTTGAGCTGAGAGAGAGAGTTGAAAAATAATCTGTTTTTTGTTATTTTTCAGTTTCGTTATTTCGCTATAGCGTTATTGTACTACAAGACCGTTTATTTTTTTTTTTTGTTGTTGTTTGTTGATAATTTTTCATATATATATATATATTATTATTTTTTTTTTTGTTGATATTCACTCACAATTCCAGTGATAAATGACACCTGCTAGTGGGTTACGATTCATTGCTTTCTCTTGTTTGTTTCTCTTCTTTATATGTTATTTTCATTTATTTATTCATTTATTTATTTATTTTTGTATTTGTACACACATACACAGACACACACACGGACAGAGACAAGCAAAGAGACGCAAGGAAATCTATTTCATTGTTTGAAGTGACAGTCATAAAAAATGATTTTATTACATTGTGCTTATTTTCTATGTTATTTAGTTTCACTTTTCTGCTCGTCCCCGCCACTTCATTAGTAGTGTGCTTAGTTCGAGTGCTTCGCTCTTGCTCGTACTGTTTTTTTTTTCTTCTTTTTTTTTGCAGGATTTATTATTATTGGTCTCTATACAATACTTTAGTACTACTACTACTACTACTACTACTACTATGGATTAGTTTTCATCACAATCATATTAGGTTCGAAATTATTTTTTCATAAAAAGTTTATAAATTGGCTCTCAGTTTGTTCGTTATTATTATTATTATTATCGCTTTTGCGAAAATCATTGAAGCTCACTGAATCAGATAATTTACGGATCTTATATAAAACTTCATGTACCGAGCCAGGCATAGATATGATTTTTTAGTTTTTCTTAGTTTTTTTAGTTCAGTTTCGAGAAGTATCGAAATAATTTTCCCATTAATTTAATCGCTACTATTTTACTTGTTTGTGTGTATTATGCAATTCTTTTTTCTTCTTTTTTGAATTTTTCATTTTCATCAATTTATTAATTTTCTATTGTTTCGCATATTGAAGCAGCCTTTTTTCCTTTTCCTGTTTTTAAGTCAATTAATTTTAATTTTAATTTTTTTTTTTTAAAGTTTTTTCCTTTTAATTTTAAGTGTTGGTTCCGCTTGTTGAATGCTTCATTCAGCCGCCTCCTATGCCTTTCAATGCGAATTCTGGTTTGATTTGATTTTCCTTATCTGCAAATGCAAATGTAAAAAAAAAAGAAGAAGAGGAAGAGTGAATGAAAGAAGGAAAAAGGAAACTTTTTATTTCACAAATTAAAACGTTTCACAATTTGCAATTTTAATATGTTCACAAAAGTCAAATATCATAAAATGCAAGAGTACGAAATTTTGATTTGATTAAATGGCACACACTGTTCAAGGCAACGCAATAAACGATGAGATGAATTGAATTTTGTATTTAAAAATAAAAAAAAAAAATAAAAATTCTCGATATTTGAAAGACGATACTCTGCCAATTTCCCAACAAAGAAAACTTTAGCTTCAATATTTATTTGCATTAATTATTATACCCATCGCAGAGAGAGGGAGAGAGAGAGGGTGAGCACGATACGCGCTTTCCTTCGTTACACCCACTGCACTTGCAATACGTATATACGTGTTTATAAGCGATTTAAATTTTTCTCTTTTTTTCGTCCATCTACTTAAGGTTTCACTTAGAGCGTGCACAACAGCTGCAAGCACTGAGCTAAATGATGTAAAAGAAGAAAGCGAAGGCGCCGCAATACGCTTGCAAGAGTAAACAATTTCGAGTTCGGCTTGCTAGTCGACATTGTATGCGAATATTTGTCAGGGCTATCTTAGGATTTGCAAAAAGGGGCCGCGATCTACCTACGATGGACAAACAGTTGCGACTTGCGGTTGGAAACAGATGTTGACTTGAAAATGCCAAAAAATATTTAGCAGAACCACTCAAAAATCAGTGACAACTGGCCAGAGTTAAGATAGAAGATTATGTTATACTTAGGAAAAAGAATAACAAGCGCATTACGTTTACAGTGAGGAAAATGTTTAGTTTCACTTCATAGCATGGTTACGAGAAAAGATGGAATATTTACCAGAAGCATCCAAATCGCATATCACCTAAAATGCACAAAAAGCTGGCACTTATAAGCACTAACCCAACGATCGATCTCAAATCTTGTAGACATATTTTCAAGGGTCACCAAACCGCACATAATTTTGCATATAAAACATTAGATCTGAAGACTTGAATTGAAGGGAAGGTGTACTTTCTATGCGATTGCTCCCCGCTGCCAAGTACAGTCATCAAATGATTGTGCAATGATTATGCAAATCGACATCATTTTAATATTTCAGTAATGAATGCAAAGGATAACGGTAGCAATCTTTTTTGTTAATCACATAAAACAACGTTTCCTTTATATATATATATATACATTATTTTACATAATTTATTCATGTATTCGTAGAATGAATGTCTCCCACCAACAATTTACGACCCTATCTCTATATATGCGTATGAAATTTTAATAAAGTGTTGTATGCGGTATTCAAAACACGTATTCTTTCGACACCGCAACCACAACATCGACAACAACCGTAATGTCAATTGCTGGGCATATATTTTATGTTCTGGAACAGTTAGCTATAATCAGCCAATCATTACTATAGATCTTCATTTACTGTAAGCACTGAATTATGCATAAATGAAGTGATGATGATAATAATTTATGCACTCGGATCAGCTATCGCAACTTGTGTGAATGTCTGTGCACATATATATATATATATATGTACATAGCCTGAATTTATTCAACTAAAGTATTCTTTTCTTTTCTTTTCATTTCTTTTCATTTCATTCATTTTTTTTTTTTTGTTTTGTTTTTTTTTATTACATTTTTCCCCTGACCAAAGAAAATAGAATATTCTCTACACACACCCAGTACAGTACATTATGGTAATTGTTTATTTGTAGCATTACGGTTAAGATTCATTTTCAAGTATTTGTTTAAATTCGTGAATGCATAAAAAAAAAAAAAAAAAAAAAAAAAATATGTAAATTCATAATTGGATTTATAGCACAAGTGTTACGATAATTTAGAAAATAGTTCGGTTTGGTTGGATTTGGGCTAAGATGAAATTATATCGCATTGTAAAAACGAAAAAAAGGAAATTAAATGAATTTTATTTAAGTACACTTTGAAAGATTGCAGTCGTCGCAACGAACGATTACAGAAGTGTTCATGGCTTGGTCCAGTTCAAATAAACGAATTATTTATCTATTTGCTGGAAAGCAGCATTGTTTGATTAAAAACTTCAACTGCTCAAAACACTTAAACGTTTCAGTTAATATTTGCATCTAATCTAAAGTGGCGCAATGTTCTCAAATAGTTGCGGTCTCGTAAAAGTTCCCCTACAATACGTTATACATGTTCAGTCGGTTATGTTCATTTTAATTATAAATCCTTTTAGATTAACGATTAACTTCTATAATGAAGTGATGATACTTTATTTAAGCCAACAAGCTTTTAAGTAGCTTCTCGTGATTATATTTTGAAATAAAACGTGATAACCGACGTCGTTGAAATTGCTTTTCATTGAGAAAAGTGTGTTACTTATAAAGAATTTTTTTGAATCATTCTAATGAGTAAAATTGTCTCGGCTAGGTTGCAATGATCGCTATCCTAGATATGCTCTGTAAGAAAACTTTTTCCTCAGACATGCTGTACAGTACAGGTATGAACTGACTCATCAGCTGCGAGACTCGCGTCAGAAGAATGATTTTGTCTTGCACACTTAACGTAAGGATTGACGCCTTCCCTTTCAAAAGCCTAAGGAACAATTTGTAGTAACAGTGCTAGATTATGACCTCTCCTTCTGTTTGTCTTCTCTTATGACACTCACACCCATATCAAGTCCTTTTTTTTTTTTTAATTTAATCGTATACAAAGAAAATAAAAATACCCTCATATCATTCGTAATGGTTTTTCCATTAGCCTTCCTCACCAGTCAAGAAGCATGGGTTCGGACAAGCCAGTAAAGATCGGCAGTTAGCAAAAAAAAAAAAAAAAAACAAGAAAAAGGCTATCGGTGTTATCGTAGAATAAGGGACTATTTTAAGGTTCTCATCTCCTCCTACTCTAGCAGTCGTATGATTGAATAATGAGTTAACTTTCCACACTCGATCTCGACTAACATCGAATATAGTTCCTCAATGATAAGTTTATGACTTTTCGTAGCGAACAATTTTAAGAATTCGTGGAATGGAATGGAAATTCGTTAACGTACAAATTTTTATTACAAAAATGATTATCGAGAAGACTATTCAAAAGGTAACGAAAGAAAAGATTTGTCAGTAAAAACACATATTTGACGAAACGCGTGAACACAACACAACGGATTGTCTTATGTCATTGACAGCGAAAATTTGAAAATATTAAGAAAATAATAGAAGCTGAAAATAATGATTTCCGAAACTTTAATCGTATTATAAAGCGAAAAGGTATTATAAAGATAAGCATTATCAAAAAAAAAAAAAGTTTCTTAAAAATCAATATAAATGGAAATGTAATAGGATTAACGAAAAGTACTGCTGTATGTACGTTTGTAATCTGTTAATGCTATTTAAGTGAATTTTTCGTCGGTTTGTCAGATCACAGACAAAGCTTGAAAAGTAAATTCTACTTAAATGAATTTTCAAGAGTAAGAAGGATTGGAATGAACGGGTGAGGGGGGCGCCCTTGAAGGAAATTTCTCGCAGTTTTTCAATAGAGCAAATTACGCAAGTAGCTGGATTGGAGCCCTCAGTAACATGATTAGAGAATGCACACACTTTTGGACAAATAGTGAAGTATGTCCTAAGTGAACGCAGTGGGATTCTCTCCACGTAGATGGAGAGTTCTACGAAATGGAAATACTGAAAGCCCTACTTAACAGCAAAGCTCGAGGGAGAATAAGTACGAAAGTTATATTCGGTAAGGGCCGAACCTCGCATACCCACCATTACATCTTTTGCATTGTACTCTCCCTGTTCTTCTTGGAAGTTCTAAGATTAGTTGCGAAGGTAATAATGCGGTGCGTCTTGAAATGGGTTGGGAATCCAATTACAAGTGTTCGATTCAGTGAGGCTGAGGAGATTAAAGGATATTAAAAAAATTTCTACCATCAAGCGCAAAC